ACAGACTTTTAACTAGAGAGATCAAATTGAGGGTTACTGTATGGAAGGTTGGTGTGGGGATGGGTTAAATAAGTGATGGGGACTAAGAAGTGTGCTTATTCTATATGTTGGCTAACTGAACATAATTTTAAAAATATAGGAAAAAAACTGTACTTATTGTGATGAGCACTGGGTGTTGTATAGAAGTGCTGAATCAATATAGTGCACACCTGAAACTATATCACACTGTATATTAACTATAACTTAAATAAAACTTTAAAAAATAAAATATACCTTAAATGTAAATAGTTGTTATATTCAACTAATGAACTGCTGAGCACTACATCAAAAACTAATGATGTAATATATGCTGGCTAACTGAACATAATAAAAGTAAAAGTAAATGTTCTGAGTCCTCCAATCAAAGCACATACGGTGGTGGAATGGATTTAAAAAAAAAAAAAAAGAACCCATCTACATGCACCCCAAAAGCAACTCACCTCAGACCTAAAGAAACATAGAGACTGAAAGTGAAGGGATGGAATTTACCATGCAAATGGAAGTGGGAAAAAAAGCTGGGCTAGCAGTGCTTATATCAAATAAAACAGACTTTAAAAGGAAGACTTACCAAGAGACAAAGAACAGCATCACATAACGATAAAGAGATCCATGCAACAAGAGAATATAATAAGTATCTACACACCCAACACAGGAACATCTGAATATATAAAGCAGATATTAATGGACATAAAGAGAGAAACTGATGGTAATACAATGATAGGGGACCTTAACAGTCCACTTCCCTCAATGGATAGGTCATCCAGACAGAAAATTAATAAGGAAACATCTTTCAATGACACACTAGACCAGACAGACATTACAGATATATACAGATCATTCCATCCCAAAACAGTGCAATACACATTTCTTTCAAGTGCACATGGAACATTCTCCAGAACAGATCACATTTTAGGCCATAAAACAAGCCTCAATAAATTTAAGAAGAGTGAAATCCTACCATGCACCTTTTCTAACCACAATGGTATGAAACAAGAAATCAATCACGAGGGGGAAAAAAAAAAAAAGCGGAAAAAAGGCAAAAACATGTGGAGGCTAAACAATATGACACTAAACAACATGGTTCAATGAAGCAATCAAAGAATAAATTTTAAAATATATGAAGACAAATGAAAATGAAAGCACAATGGGCCAAAAGCTTTCGGATGCAGTGAAAGCCATTCTAAAGAAAAATAGTGATACAGGTTCCTCACAAAATAAGAAAAACAGCTCAGAAAAATCTAATCTTAAAGGAAGCAGAAAAAGAAAAATAAGGCCCAAGGTGAGTAGAAGGAAGGAAATAATAAAGACCAGAGGAGAAATAAATGACACAGAGACTTAAGGAAAAAAAATCAATGTACCCAAGAGCTGGTGCTTTGAGAATGTAAACAAAACTGGTAAACCATTAGCCAGATTCATCAGGAAAAAAAGAGAAATGACCCCAATAAATAAAATCTAAAACAAGAGAGAAGTAACAACTGATACCACAGAACATACAGAAGCGTAACAGAGTAACACAAAAAACTGTATGTGACAATAATACAAAAAACTATATGCCAACAAATTAGAATACCTAAAAGAAATGGATAAATTCTAGGAATATATAATCTTCTAAAACTGAATTAGGAAGAAATAGAAAATTTTTACAGACTGACTGCTACTAATGAAATTGAATCAATAATCATAAGATCTCCAAAACATAAAAGTATAGGGCCAGATGAATTCACAGGTGAATTCTACCAAACATTTATGTTAGAGTTAGTACTTATCCTCAAACTTTTCCAAAATATAGAAGAGGAAGAAAATCTTCCAAATACATTCTAGGAGGCTAGCATTACCCTGATACCAAAACCATAAATACCACACACACACACACGAAAACTACAAGACAACATCCTTTATGAACATACATGTAAACATCCTCAATGAAATAGCACCAAGCCACAAATAGCACCAAGCCACATTCGAGAATACCTAAAAGGATATTTCATCATGATCAATTGGGATGTATTCCAGGGATGCAAGGATGGTTCAATATTTGCAAATCAATCAATGTGAAACACCACATCAACAAAACAAAGGAGAAAAATATAATCATCTCAATAAATGCAGAAAAACATTTCACAGAATTCAACATCCATTCATGATAAACACTTCAACAAAGTGGGCTTACAGGGAACATGACTCATAGTAGTAAAGCCTAATATGAAAAACCCACAGCTAACAACCATACTCAGTGGTCAAAAACAGAGGTTTTCCTCTAAAATCAGGAACAAGATAAGGATGTTCACTCTTGCCACTTGAAAAAAAAACAACAACACAAAAAACTTTTTTTTTTTTTTTTAAAGATTTTATTTATTTGACAGAGACAGTGAGAGAGGGAACACAAGCAGTGGGAGAGGGAGAAGCAGGCTTCCCGCTGAGCAGGGAGACTGATGCAGGGCTCGAACCCAGGACCCTGGGATCATGACCTGAGCTGAAGGCAGCTGCTTAATGACTGAGCCACCCAAGCGCCCCTACTCTTGTCACTTTTATTCAACACAGTGCTGGAAGTCCTTACTCAGCAATCGGATGAAGAAGATGTTAAACTGTCATCATTTGCAGGCGACATGATGTTACACAGAGAAAAAATCCTAAAGCTTCCACTAAAAATGCTTGTAGAATAAATACAGTAAAGCTACAGGATACAAAGTTAATATCCAGAAATCAAAGCATTTTTGTCCACTAATAATAAAGCAGAAAGAAAAATTAAGAAAATTTCATTTATATTTGCAACAAAAATAATAAAATACTTAGAAATAAATTTAAGCAAAGAATTAAAAGACCTAGACTCTGAACAATACAAAGCATTGATGAAAGAAATGGATGATGACACAAAGAAATGGAAAGATATTCCATACTCACAGATTGGAAGAATATTGTTAAATGTCCATACTACCCAAAGCAATCTGCAAATTCAGTGCAATCCCTATCAAACTACCAATAGTATATTTCCTCAGAACTAGAAGAGAATCCTAAAATTTGTATGGAAGCACAAAAGACCCAGAATAGCCAAAGCAATCTTAATTAAGAAGAACAAAGCTAGAGATATCACAAATCCAAGTTTCAAGATATACTACAAAACTGTAGTAATCAAAACTGTATGGTATTGGCACAAAAACAGACACACAGATCAGTGGAACAGAACAGAGAGCCCAGATGTGGACCCTCAACTCTATGGTCAAATAATCTTTGACAAAGCAGGAAAAATGTCTCTTCAATAAATGGTGCTCGGAAAATAGGACAACTACATATAGAAGAATGAAACTCAACCAGTCTCTTACACCATACACAAAGATAAACTCTAAATGGATGAAAGACCTCAATGAGACAGGAATCCATCAAAATCCTATAGGAGAACATAGGCAGTAACCCTCGGCACTGGCCACAGCATCTTTTTTCAAGACACATCTCCAAAACAAGGGAAACAACAAAAGCTGAAATGAACCTTTGGGACTTCATCAAGATAAAAAGCTTCTGCACAGCAAAGGAAACAGTCAACAGAACAAAGAGGCAACCCACGGAATGGGAGAAGGTATCTGCAAATGACACTACAGACAAAGGGCTGGTATCCAAATCTATAAAGAACTTCTCAAACTCAACACCCATAAAACAAGTCAAAAAATGGGCAGAAGACATAAACAGACACTTCTCCAAAGAAGACATACAAATGGCTAACAGACATGAAAAGATATTCAACATCATTAGCCATCAGGGAAATACAAATCAAAACCACACTGAGATACCACCTTATACTGGTTAGAATGGCAAAAATTAACACGGCAAGAAAAAAAAAAATGTTGGAGAGGTTGTAGAGAAAGGGGAACCCTCCTACCCTGTTGGTGGGAATACAAAGTGGTACAGCCATTTTGGAAAATAGTGTAAAGGTGTCTCAAAAAGTTAAAAAATAGAGCTACCCTATGATGCAGCAATTGCACTACTGGGTATTTATCCCAAAGATACAGATGTAGTGAAAAGGAGAGGTACATGCACCCCAATGTTCATAGTAGCAATGTCCACAAGAGCCAAACTGTGGAAAGAGCTGAGATGTCCTTCAAGTGATGAATGGATAAAGAAGATGTGGTCCATATACACAATGGAATATTACTCAGCCATCAGAAAGGATGAATACCCAACTTTTGCATCAACATGGATGGAACTGGAGGGGAAGATACTAAGTGAAGTAAGTCAAGAAGAGAAAGTCAATTATATGGTTTCACTTCTTTGTGGAACATAAGGAACAGCATGGAGGACATTAGGCGAAGGAAGGGAAAAATGAAGGGGGGGAAATCACAGGGGAAGATGAACCATGAGAGACTATGGACTCTGGAAAACAAACTGAGGGTGTCATTTATTTCTAAAATAATTTTATGGTGGCCAGAGAACATACTTTGAATATTAATTATTTAACATTCACTGAGACTTGATTTACTTCCCAGTATATTCCTTTTTTCTTTTTAAGTGATCTCTGTGTTCCTACAAAGGAAGTATCTTCTGTAGTTGTAGATGTGATGCCCATACTGGGAAGAAACTTGGTGCACCTTCTTAGATTCTCGAGTACTCCTGTTTTATTTCTCTTTGTCAGTGACCCACCTGAATTAATTGCCCTTCTAGCACTTGGATAAAATTCAGTACCATTTCAGTTTACAAAAAAAAAAAAGTAAATGATAGTCATCCTCCAACTTCAGAGAAAATCTGAAAGTCAACCTTATCTTCTGTCAGCACAGGATGGAAAGCAACGAAGTCTGCATATACAGCCTCAGCAGGTCTTAGTGAAAATCAGGCCCAGTTGCAGGATGAGTAACACTCTAATATTTGGGATTGAGATACTTGGCGGACAATCTGAGAATCAGGACATACACACCCATTTCCCTGAACCCTTTCTGATGGCAGAAACATCCCCTTCCATGTTAGCCTCACCTGAGGTGGATGCCTTGAACAATGATGTTTGTCCTCCTCAGGACCTTCCCCTCACTTCTCATGGCCTCTAGGTTGGTATCGAGAATCAGGTACCAGCAGAGCCTGGAGAGAGAAATACAAACCCTGCTTTGGGGAAAAAGTGCCTACAAAACAAAGGAATTACAGGACCTGCCTAATAATAGGGCCTGGGGAGTGTGTGTAAAAGTGGATCCTGGTGTTCAAAGAGGGAAAGTAGAATTTAAGACCCGATGAGATTTACCTGGGGCACTCACCTTTGATTCACAAATTTTACTTGAGTAAAAATATCTGAAGCCATCCCAGTGGACTACGGATGGGCAGAGTCAGAGTGGCAATCAAGATGGTATGACCTGAAGGGATCTGAGGCAGTGGCTGTTACACCACAACTCCCTAGGACACTAACTTATTTATATAAAGAGAAAAAAAAAATGTAGTTGCCTTCCACTTTGGTAGAAAATTGGGACCCCCCCCCCAGTTCCCAGCTCTAAATTTATAGACTCCAGAGCACACTCAGTGAAAAGAAGGTCAGTTCCCCTTCAGTGACATTCCTGAAACTCCATCACACATGTATACAGTGAATATTCCTTCAGTCGTTCCTCAGAGGAACCTGTGGCCGTCTGCCAGGGTGGGCATGCACTGGGATGGTAAAAGGTGTGTCAAGATGTTTCTTCTCAGGTGAAGGACAAGCTGCTGTACTTGAAGTATCTCTCCACTTGAACACAAACAATGAAAATAACACTTTGTGGGTCTCTCTGGAATTTGAATTGGGACGCAACAAGTACCAAAGCTGGGAATATTCCTCTGACTCATATACTGCGCAGCCCTAGAAGCTGCGAGCTTCTCAGGGGCCCAGAAACAAAGCCAGAGCAGACCCTAGCTGTGGCACAAGATACCCTCTTTCTTGATCCTAGAACTCAGCAGGTCAGAAGGTGCTAGCAAGATCTAGGATTGGTAAGGATGTTGTCTGGAATCTGGAAAGCTCCAACAGGGAAGACAGAACAGAGAGGTAAGATTCTGGAGTTAAATATGTGCCTTCTAAGAATGAGAACGAGTCATGTGAAGAGCAGCTCCTGTGCCCTGGTAGTGACAGATCACCCAACAGCAGGACATAAAGTGAGAATGGATCCGTTTCCCATCCTAAGCTAGATGTGATATGAGCTGCCCATCATAGAATTCAGTGTTAGAAAGCAGTGATCTCTTGTGCAATGGTAATGGCCCTTTGGGGACTGGACCATAGGGCCCAAGTGAATCACAGAAGAGGTGACCCAGATTCCTACCTGTGCTGCCTCTCCTGATAGTTCCCATGCTTCTTGGGGGGCTCCTACCAATAACCAGCATGAGGAAAGGACTCAGAGTGAATCACAACCAGGTTGGCTTGTTGTGCGGGTGTTGGCGGAAATGGCCTGTGGGGCCACTGCTGCCTCATTACAGCGCCACTTGGGATGTCCCTGAAAGACACTGTGAAAGGAAGTCCTTCAAATGAACCAAGCTGAGAGTGGCTCAGTCATTCATTCATAAGAAAGAAAATGACTGGAGGTACAGAGACACATGGACTTTTGACAGTGGCAGATGGCTGACCTAGAAGGGTCCAACTGGAGGTCCAAGAAAGGTGGAGGAGGGCAAACAGCATGAGATTTTTGTGTCTTACCTGAAAGCCCACCAGAGACCATGTACTACAGGGAAGGCTCTCAGTAATACGGCAACAGGATGACCGTCCTCTGGCTGCCAGGCAGACTCTTCTCACACATCCGGTCCTTGTGCAGAGGCCTGGGAACAGTGTCCAGGATGACAGCTAAGCATAGGCTCAATGGCAAGGACTTCCTATACCAAGACTCATGTTACCACCATAGCTGAAGGCCTGTCCAGTGGACAGCAGACTGATGCTATCAACTCGGCACCATTAATCATGGGGCAGTATTTTGTTCTTACGGCCCCTGCCTATGGTTCTGCCAGCACCATCCCCAAAGACTCACAGAATGCCTTACCTGTGATATCCCACAGCACTGCCTCAGAGCGAAGGACTCCTTTTCCACCAGAGGAGGTGTGACCATGAGCTCATGACTATGGAATGCACTGGTCTTGTCCCATCCCATCATCCAGGATTAACTGGCCTGATATGACGGTGACATGGCCTACCAACGGTTACTAAGGTGCCAGCCAGGGGGTCAACACTGAATGTGGCCTGGGTACCATCATCCAACCCAGGATGTGGCACACATTCTGAACCGATTACCAATGATGAACAGTGCCGCCACTGCTACAGTATAGGAGTCTGAAGACCAACAGGTGGAGTGGCCCCAATTACGACAGCCAGCAGCCCTGCATATTTTGTTGTTTCTCATTCATGCATCCTGGCACTCTCAGGGATTGTAGGTAAGTCCCAGCTCCGGGAGACAGGAGTGGAGACAGTTCTTTCAGGGTCACAGCAAGAATACCTTTAAGGGGAATCTGTGATTACCACCTGACTCTCTAATGTTCTTGGCCCAACAGGCAAAGAAAGGATTGGTTCTGATGATTGGGAGAGTAACTGACAAACATCAGGGATGAAGGTTGCTAGTAGATAATCGAGTACGGTAGGATGTGTCTACAACCTAGGTGAAGGAACTGGGTATCTCTTAGCAGTGACTTAGCGGCAATGACTTTCAATGAGCAAGGGAAACCACCACGACCATCACCTTGGGGATGAAGGTCTGGGTCATCCCACCAAGACAACCCAGATAGCCCAAAGTGTTACTTAAAGAGAATCCAACAGAGGGGCTCTTGCCACAGGCATCCAGAACAGGTCGTCAACTTTGAGACTCTGGTCACACCTGCAGAGTAAGGATGCCCTTGTTCTCAGCAGGAGGTGGCCCAGGGATGGTAGGTCCCACCATGTAGTCTGAGGGCTGTACACGATGGGAGGGGGTGGTGCAAAGGGTGGACTAGCTGGACACAAAACTTATACACCTCCAGTTCCCTCAACCAGTCCCTCTCTCCTGCAGGTGGCACCCCATCTGCACCAGGCTGCCCCGCACCGGAGCTCAGGCACCCAATGCAGGGCATTTGAGCTGACTCTGCCAGCCACCGAGGTGCCGGGTGGTGCATACTGGAGGCACACGGGAGTGAGCCCACGGTGAGCAAGGACCTCAAAGAGCTACACCCTCAGAGCAAAGGGTGCAGGAAGTAAGAGAAGGCAGCTTAGTGCTGACCAGAACAGGGGATGGATGGGGGCCTGGTAGGGAGCCGAGGCAGTGCTACCCGGAACCTGCACCACTGGACCACCTACCTTGGATTGGCCAAAGATGTTCAAACGCGAACAGGACTGAGGCGGCCTCCATCACTGGGTCCTGTGTCCTCCGTCCTGTGTCCGCGCGTCCGCAAACACTGAACATCATCCGGCTTCCTACTGTTTACATTTTTTTGGCCAGCCTAATAATGCAAAGTGATGGGTCATTTTTGTTTTATTCAGCTGTAATTACTAATGATTTTGAGCATTTTCCCCTTACTTTAGGGTTTGGTTTCTTTTGTAAATTATGTTTCCTCTCAGTTCAATTTGGGGTTTGCTGTCAATGGCATGTGTTAATTTTGGTTATGTTGTCACTGGCACAGAAAATTTAAATTTTGATATAAGACTATTTCACTATGGGATCTGCTTTTGTTATTATTTAATCCTGCTCTAAAAAGCCTTTTCTAATTTTCCTATAACTTTTTATTTATAAATTATAACTCCTCCCCTATAATTTAAAAATATGCTGTTTAGGGGCTCCTGGGTGGCTCAGTTCATTGACTGACTGCCTTCAGCTCAGGTCATGATCCCAGAGTCCTGGGATCAGTGCCACGTTGGGCTCCCTGCTCAGCGGGGAGCCTGCTTCTCCCTCTCCTCCCTGTTACAGCCCCCCCCCCCCTCTCTCTCCAATAAATAGATAAAATCTCAAAAAAAAAAAAAGATAAAAAAAATGCTGTTTAGATCCTTTACACACAAAAATAGTTTGCACATGGTACAAGAAGAAATCTGATTTTACTCCATTTGCATAGCCAGTCCTTCCAAGATCACTTTACTGAAGCATCATTTCTGACTTTATGTGACTTACACTGTATACCCAACCTCCAAACATACCTGCGCCTCGATCCTCCATTGTCTCTTCACACACGGATGCCACTTGTCTCAGTGACAGAGTTTAATTCTGTCTTCATAATTCACAGAACAGGTCTACCCCTTCTTTGCCCTTTTTTTCCTGCAAGACTGTCTTGGCTACTCTTGTCCTCTTACAGCTCCATATACATCTGATCATCTTTTTACACTCTATTTTAAAAACAGTAGCAATTATATTGGTATTGCTTCCAATATATGGTCTCTTTAAAGTAGTACTTCTTCTATTCACGAACACAGGTTATCTCTATTCTTTATTCCTTTAGAAAAGCTGTGTTTTTTCTTTAGAAAAGTTTTTTTTCTTTTTAAATCCGAAGATATTACAGTTTTTGGTGTTATTGTGAATGGGATAATTTTCCTATATTTTCTCATTTTTGTTACACTGATTTCAGTATACAAATAACCTATTCACCAATCATGATTTGCTAATTCTAATGATTTTCTTAGGTTTCTAAAGGAGATAGTACTATTTAGAAATTACAGCACACATACCCATTTCTAATCTTTTTTTTTTTTTAGAATTTAAAAAAGTATTACATTTATTAGTACATCAAGGGCAATACTTAATTATAGTGGTGATCAGTATCATATTTATACTGTTTCTAACATCAGTAAAAATTTTTCTGATTACCTATCATTAGGCATGTTTGCAGTCCTTCACACTCCCTTTATCCGGTTAAGAAAATTATTTTCTAAGATATTTTTCATAATTCCTGCTTAGATTTTCTTTTTAACTCATCAGTTATTTAAAAATGAGTTTTAATGGTGTGTATGTGTGTGTATTTGGTATGACTATTCAAAAAGGAATTTTTGTAGTTAGCAATTAATATTTTGGAATTTGTTAAGACTTAGCTTGTGGCCAGGTATTAGGGAACGTTCTTGATGTTTTGTTTCTGCTTAATACAGAGTATCTTGGCTGCACCTGGAGTAACAGAGGCTCAGAGGGAGGCTGTCTCCCTCCTGGTAGGAATCAGAGGTGCCACTGAGGCCCTCGTGCTCCCGCAGCAGCAGCGGTCCTTGCCATATGAGGGGAAGGAAGCCTCAGAACTTGGATTTACAGGACATGAGAGCATGACACACTTCGGTGTTTCCCCCAGCTGTGGTATCACACCTCAAAGACCTTGCTTTCCTGTGAGGAGCCTGTGGGCCAGACTTCACACACACCATCTGCAAAAGCTTCCTATGCTCCCATTAGGCCTCCCTCCAGAAGCTTCTTACGTCACACCCAAAGCAGGAGCCCACAGAGGTGTCCCTGGGCAGGGCCACCAGAGCCGGACAAACCACCATCCTAATGCTGCAGCCAGCGCGTGCCAGGCTCTTGCCAGTGGCCTTCCGTAAGAACTGACCCCACTGCTTTCCCAGTCGCCACATGTCCACGCCTCTCAGGTGGCCCAGACACTCACCAGTCCCTTCGCTGAGCTCCCCTCCTTTGCCAACACTCCGGCCTCTTACCATGTGCCTTCACCAAAAACTCCTGTATCTCAACTTACCTGAACTTTCTTCATCTTCTGAATGAAACAGCTATTTCCTTTCTTGCTGTGTCACGTGTTTATTTTAGCTAATTTCTTGTCTCCTCTCCCTTTCCTCCATGGCTTTATGCAGATGCACTAGGACTGCTGGCGACCAGACAGGACTGTAATAGGAGTAACAGAGTTCTGACTTCGAGATGACAAGGACTCTGGGTTTCCAAATATCTGGTATGTAAGACACTCACACCAGGGGGAGGCTGGGCAAAAGGTATATCCATATACCTTACGGCACTGCCTTTGCAACTTTTCTGTAAACCTAAAATGATCCGAAAATAAGCCTTATCTTAGATTTTAAAGGTGGGGGGAGGCCACAGATTTTTTTTTCCTTTTGAGGAAATGACTGTATCTGGGCTTGTCTGTACGGGGCTCAGGAGCTCAGGGGTTGTGGTACTGCACAGCTGGAGCAACAGGTTGTGGTCGAGAGGTTTTAACCCTCATTGGCTGTCAAGAAGTTTTCCTATTTTTGAAGACTTTTTCACAGTGCAAGTCAACTGGGAGCCACTCCATCGAAGCTGAAGAGGTCCCTCTCTCCTGTCCTGGCCCAGGGGGCGTGGGCATGCGGTGAAGCCAGAAACACACGCATCCTGGCGTTCTGAGTGTCGGAGCAGCCGGGACGTCTTCGGACGGCGTCCGTGCCACCACGCAGCGGCAGCAGCGCGGGGGCGCCCGGGAACGGTGGCAGGCGAGGCCTTGCTGGCCGCCCGCCGCCCTGCTTCCTGGGGGCCCGCGTCTGCTTCTCCCACTGACCAGTGCACAGCTCTGTCTCCTGCCAGTAAGCTCCATTCTTGGTGTTAGCCAGCCTTCTCTCCTGTTGCTTGCCATTGGGAACTCAACTGATACGCCCCCCAAAGCAGCCAGGGCTTCCCTGCGGACCACCTCTGGGGGTGCCACTTGCACAGAATACAAAACGGTATCCCTACGGTTCTGCGGTGCGGCGCCACACAACTATTTATGTGTCTAAAGCACGTGACAGAATAGAGGAAAAAACCATTTCCTTACTTTATTACATATATGAACAACTAAACCATGAGGATACAAGTCCAGCACCTTGAACGTGGGCCTCCTTGCATCCATTCCTCTCTCCCGCTTACTGGTCTGAATAAGCTTGGGCAGGCGGCAATGCAGCCAGACAACGGGCCAGTTGGGTGACTCTGTTACTGGTCAGGCTCCCAGCTGGAAAAATAGAAACATCATATATCCTTCATAGGCCTGCTGTGAGGATTAAAAAAAAAAAAGTCACATAGCACAGTGCCTGGCCCATAAGAGGCCTATGAGAATCGCTCCTTCCTTTTCCAATGTTGATAAAATAATCAGTTTGTATGCAGACAAGCTTTTCACCAGAGTGAGATTATCTTCAATTGACACAATCATCTGAGCCATGCCGGATGTTGAAGCAGTATGACCTCAGAATGCTTGTCCCGATGTTTCTGGCTTCCACACCTACAATGCTCACACTGTCGCTTTCCACGTGGGTGAATCCACTGCAAAAGGAAGGGACGGGCTGTGTGTTAACTTGCGGAAGACACATATTTAGGGAGGTAAGTCTTTACACAAAGACAGAACACAACCTCTGGACCTTCTCCATCCTAGCACACCCCATCTGTGTTGAGATCTGCGTTCATTCCTGACAATTAGCAAATGCACTCACATTCTGGAGTGGGAGTATCAGCTTTGAGCCCTCCTGATGGTAGCTGCCCCAATTACGATTTCAGGACGTCTAGAAACTTCCAATAGAAAACATATACCTCATCCAGTCTCAAGAGGGTAGTCATTTCCCCAGAATCGAGAATCAGGCCATCAATTCCCAACCAGTTTCAGTGAAAGACATCAACATAGGAGCCATCATTTTCCACGATGCTATCTTTGGCTAAAAAGGCAGACAGTGCTGCTCTGAGGCATGACAGCGAGCGAGCAGTGTGGAGACAACCATACCAGCCAAACCACACAAAGGACTTGAGTTTCCTGTAAAAGCTGGTTTTGGCTACAGATTGCTTCTAAAATATTGCCACTTTTTGTTTTTTGTGAACTACCTTTTAGCTTAGAATACATTACACACTAAAAACGACATTAGTAAAGCTGCTAAGAACATTCATGTACAAGTCTTTGTTTGGATATAACATATCTCCTGGGTAGATACCTGGTAGATAAATGTACATCTATCTAACACACCCATTTTCCCTGTTTTCTTTAGAGAATTATGTATTATGTATTCACAGATGATAACATTTTAGGAAACTGAAAAGCTCTCAGAAAGTACTGTTTATGTCTTGCAGCATTCAAAAAGGTGCTGGGAAAAGCTTATGGGGAACAGCATGAAGCAGGACTGCTGGGCTCGTTGTTGCCAAATGAGGCTCCCAAAAGAAACTGCCACACAACTACGGATTTCCGTAGCAATCTGTTCTGAATCAGGAAAGGGGCGTAATTAAAAATCATGATCCAGGGGCACCTGGGTGGCTCAGTGGATTAAGCTGCTGCCTTCGGCTCAGGTCATGATCTCAGGGTCCTGGGATCGAGTCCCACATCGGGCTCTCTGCTCAGCAGGGTGCCTGCTTCCCTCTCTCTCTCTCTCTGCCTGCCTCTCCGTCTACTTGTGATCTCTGTCAAATAAATAAATAAAATCTTTAAAAAAAAAAAAATCATGATCCATTCTAGGGTCCTAAGTAAAACACACTTCTGAAAAGGTATTTCTAGGTGTGTTACTTATTTATCACATCGAGAATGGGGTCAGTTCAGTGAAGGACATTTTCCATTCTATGTCCATGTAATTGTGTAAAAACG